AAGAACGCTTTTAGGTCGGTTTGTTACTAACGTACGCGGCAATCAGCAAAATTTTGGCTAAAACATGTTGGCTTGATGCGACCACCACCAAAATTTGGAACTTGCGAAATTTTTGCCAATTTTCTTTCTAGCCAGGGATAGGGTACAAATCATAAACATTTAAATAATAGCGCCGCTCATATCCCTCGGCCCTTGAGATAACTGTAAAAAGGGTCAGACTTGGTTTAAAACTGATTTTGTCCAAGAGTGTCCATATTTTGACAACTCCCTGCCTTAATATATCAAATTATTAGTCAATCAAGATTAAGTAAAACGAGCACGTCAGCAGGCTTTTAGTTTCCACCAACGCCATGGATAGCGGGTTAAAAGTTCGTTGATTTAGGTTTAAGAAATGTTCAGTGGAGCAGCGTCCAATACCACGGCCCGGCCCTGCCTCGCTTTCGGCCTGCGATTTTTGAATTCGAAATATTTCTTTCTCCAAGAGCGATTTTTGTAATCCACATTTTTAAAATCCTTTTTCGAAAATGTTCCGCATTTTTTTTTACTGCAATTGAGGCCCAGTTCAGACGCCGAACTTTTCATTATAGCAGAATAGTTCATATGCGGAACCGAGAGACCATTGGATCTCATTAGGTCTCTTAATGGAACTTGCTGCACAGTTCTCTTAAAGTTATTTATAGATTCTTAACGATCTTTTCTTTTAATTAGTGATATATTAATTAGCAGTTTTTGCTGTAGTGTTAAATTGGTAAGTACGTTTTCGACGTTTTGCCTTTGAAAATCCTCTTTGGGAAAGTCAAGTTAAGAAAGGATATACAGTGCATGCGTATATATATGTGTCTTTATGTGACTTTTTATATGTGATATTCTAGGACGCGCGTTCGAAAGATATATTTCCTAGACGTTTTCGATCGTTCAGTCATACAATGAATCTATAACTCTCAGGCCGTCTATTTTACCGGTTTCGTGTAAAGAATATTTCCCTTTCTGCTTTGGGGCTCGATGAATATCCTTCAATATCCACGCCGACAAATAATAACTACCTATCAAGCACAGTTGAATCAGGAACTCACACCAGCCATGATCATTCGAATGAATTATCAACCGCTCTCAGACTGAATTACACTTGAACTGAACAGAAAAACAAGGAACTCTTAACTTCAGCGATAAAACATTTTTTGGACCGAGTAAGATTGCAACAATTAAGGCGGCCTTAGTTCCACTCCTGGTTCCACCGCTCAAAGAAATTCACTAATCTACTCAACGATCTTGTAGAAACCTTGAGTTTTTGGTCTTAATTACAATACTTTGATTTGGGACTGAAACTGAACTAAACAAAGGAAAAAGGGCTAGAGACAGTGTTACTTTCTTTGTCAATAAAGGTATTTTTTTAAGCAAGAGAGTTCTTTATTGACGTAAACTTTTCCCTATTGAGTTCTTCTCAACTTGTGTCGCACACAGCCCAAGTACAAGCTTAGTTAGGTGGCTGGTATAAGAAACTTACAGCAGCATCTCGACTAAAGCCCCTAGACGAGTAATGCTTTCTAGAAGATATTAATTTTTTCATGATATTTCTTGGCAAAAAAATCGCCTGGTGATTTGACCAGACTCAACAACCATCCGACAATTTATAGCTAGGGATATAAAGAATACAGGAATATTAAATCTTGCCTCAGCTAAAACCTGGTTTTTCAATGATTTTTATTCTCGGCCCGTCCTCTTTCTTATTAAATGCGAATGAATATTTATTGAATGCATAACGAGCCAGACGTTCTTAGCAACCAAAAAACAGACCTGGGATCCCGTGGAGATGTAGAACTTTTAGTCCTACATCTCCACGGGATATCAAGTGGCTTACAACATTCCAGTGTAATCATATCCCTGTCGGTGATCGTTTATGTTCCACAAAACGCGTCAA